TATCCCGAATCACGTAACGATCGTTCGGTAGAATCTTATGTACCATATACGGAAGACGGTATTTCTGCACGAATTTCCTATTTTTACCGACCGAGGTATCGACGTGTCTTATCACAACAAAGTCTCCGACAGAATAGGTTCTACTTGGGACACTATGTTTGAGGAAATATTGGGTGTTATATTGTTGTGACTTCTCTATCCTATTAAAGGCGCTCTCTCGCGTTTCGTTAATATCCCTATTTGTGCCATCGAGAAACTTATCTTCCAAGTGTTCCGTCATTTCATCCACTACACAGCCTCTCTGATTTACACCGAAGAGTAATTCGCTCGGCGTACACCTAGTTGTACTGTGCACCGTGTTGTTTATTGCATATTCCGTTTGAGACAGTTTCGCCGTCCAATCGGAATGTTGAATTGGCTCAGTTAATTTACTAAGCATTGCTTTCAGCACCCGATTTACCCTTTCGACTTGACCGTTTGCCTGTGGTGAAGCCGTCGCCACTTTAACGTGACTGATATTATTTTTTAGCAGGAAATCACTAAATTCATATGAGGTAAAACATGTTCCCCTGTTGGTAATCACCCGCCTCGGTCGACTATAGTAATTAAAGTATTTTTCTAAGGAGCAGCAGACTTCCTTCGTACTCGTAGAGTTAACTGGGTACAATTTAACGAATTTTGTGAATGCGTCCACTATAACGAGAATGTGTTTTCGTTTCGATTTAATTGAGGGCAACGGTCCGAAGTGATCGAGATGAATCGTGTCAAAGGGGATTTTTTTTATGAATACTAAACATGTTGTATTCGTTAGAGCGTGCTGGTGCCGAGTATATGATGCACTTTATGCCATTTTGTATAAATCGTTGTATCTTTTCTCTCATATTCTCAAACCAATAGTTCTTACGTATTTGGTCGTAGCAGTTTTCAACGCCTAGGTGGCCGATTTTTTCATGTATCAGGCGGATTACGTTTTCTTGCATCTCCCCCGGGACACACAACAAAGGACTAGACCCCGGATTTTTTCTAAAGACTAAACCGTCATCTAGTATGTACTCTTCCAATTCCTCCTTTTCTAACTTGTTCATTAAGTCTCTAAGTTTTTCGTCCCGATTCTGGGCGACTTGAATATGAAAATCCAAATCGTTTGGGTCCACGGCCGCGATTAAGTCTAGTTTGCAAAATTCCGCCTCCCCACCCCTTCTTGAAATTTCCTGAAGTCCATAACGATTTAATTCGGGCTTCAGAATAGTCATAACATATTGACGATTGGAATGTAATTTGTGTTCTGGCCTCGGCTGCGGCGGACCTCGGGCACAGGGTTGTTCACACATTTGCATGTCACTTGCATCGGGTTTATGGTCGTAGGGCTTGACCCATTGCGCATCCTGCTTTTCCTTTGCAGACAGTGGGCGCCGGCTTAAAGCGTCAACATGTCCTAATGATACACCGCTTCTATGTTGAATTGAGTAATTATAGTTTTCCAACTCGAATGCCCATCTAGCGATCCGAGGGTTAATTTGTGTTTTTCCTAATGTTAACGTAAGTGAGTTGCAGTCAGTAATAATTTTGAACGGAATGCCCACTAAATAAATTTTGAATCGTCGTAGTGCGTATATAATTGAAAGTGTCTCTAGTTCAAAACTATGGTACCGCGACTCGGCTGCTGTAGTCGACCTCGAAAAGTAAGCGACCGGGTGAAGCCTACCATCGTCCTGTCTTTGCATCAGGATTGAACCAAATCCGTAGCTACTAGCATCGCAATGAAGCTCTGTTTCTCTTTGGCGATCATATATTGCCAATATAGGGGCCGAGGTTAATGCAGTCTTAAGTTCAGTGAAGGCTTTTATACACTCGGCAGAGAAGGAAAAATTTGTTTCTTTCCGTAACAGATCCAGCAGTGGCTTTGCAGTTCTCGAGAAGGCGGGCACGAATTTGCGGAAGTAGGAGAAAAGCCCTAAACACGAACGAAGTTCTTTTTGGTTCCTAGGGATCGGGTATTGAGCAATTGAGCGAATGTGTGAGTGGCATGGTTGTATTCCCAAAGGGCTGACCAGGTAACCTAAGTATTCAATTTCTTGATATCCAAATTTGCACTTTTTCAGTTTAAACTCTAACTGTTTTTCGTAAGCTCTTTGAAGTACCTCTTTCAAGCATTCGACATGGCTTTCAAAGTCTGAGGAAGCTACCAATATGTCATCTATATAAACTATTAATTTTTTGTCGTCTATCAAGTCTCGAAAAATGTTGTAGACATACCTCTGAAAGTTAGCAGGGGCATTTTTCAAGCCGAAAGGCATTCTTAAATATTCGAACTCTCCATGCGGGGTGACAAATGACGTCTTTGGAATAGAGTCTTCGTCCATTGCTAGCTGGTTGAATCCGTCTTTCAGATCCAATAAGGTAAACAATTTTTTCCAGACATGTATTCAATGCAATCTTCGATAAGCGGTAGGGGGAAGTTATCTCTTACCGTTTTATTGTTTAAGGCCCTATAGTCTATGCACATACGAGTTTCACCATTTTTTTTCACTAGAACGATGGCCGAGGCATAAGGGGAATTACTTGGTCGAATTATCTGTCGGTCAATTAAGTCTCTAGTAATCTTAAGAACCTCTTCTCGATCTTGGAAGGATAAGCGTCGTGGCAAGCAATGAAACGGGGTATCGTCCGTCAGTCGAATCTTCATTTTGTAATCGTAAGGTTTTCTTTTTATGTTTATTGGAGACAAATAATAATTCTTAATGACATTTCTAATGCTTTCGTAGCTGGCCGTATCTAGCCTACCGTATATATCTAAGTCTGACTGAAGGATTGTTTCATCAATGGCACCCATTTCGCTTATGACTTTATCGCTATTGCTGTTAGTATAAACCTTATCATTTGTATGTATTTTCCCAACCCAGTCACTAGAACCCATATTTACCAGAATCGAATCAAAGACCGCAGAGTTTGAGTGTTCTTCAGTGCTTTTTAATTCATTGTTGCACCGTACATCAATAGTTTTATTTAATTTTAACAAAAATTCATTATTTGATTTTAGTGTATTTCGTTTCAATTGAATTAAGTTTATATTAAATTTACGCATTGAATCTCGTCCCAGGATAATCGGATGTGCCAATGCCTCATCCGGTACTACCATTAAATCGATTAAATTAATTTTTCCTCGGAATTTCACCGCACATGGGTAAGTCCCATACGAAAGTGTCGGATTTTGGTTGGCAGTGCGTTGTGTGGTAGTGGACGAGTTGGCGGTACTCTTGAGCGTTGGACCAAAC